AAGGCATTTCAATTATCAAATATATCATATCCTAAGGGGAAGGTCCCCCACGCAAGGTTAGACAAGCCACTTACCTCGAACCAGCTCAAAGTCAACCCGAAACCACTCTCTTGCCACGAGTACTCGACTCCAAATGACCCAAATCTATTCAATTCAATCGCATAACGTAAATAACACTTCAAGCAACTGATTCTACAATTAAATTCTAAGCTAAAACGTAAAATTATGTAAAATGACCAAAATGCCCCTCGGCCCACGTCTCGGAATTGGGTAAAATTTATAGTTTCAGAATCCTCACACTCTTACGAGTTTAAAAATTGTCCAAATCCGATTTCAAATCCCCAATCAAAACACAATTCTTTGCCTAAGAACTTTTCCCCAAATTTTCATACAAATTTCAAAATTAAAGGATGAATTCATGTTTAAAATAATGGGTTACAAGCAAAAATGAGTTAAGAATCGTTACTCAATCGATATCTTTGAAAATACCTCAAAATCTCGCTCAAATCCGAGCTCCCAAGCTTAAGTTTTGATAAAAATGGATAAAGCCCTCGATTTTGAAATCTTATATCTGCCCAGAAAATTCCTTCTTCGCGAACGCGGTCAAAGCCTCGCGTTCACGAAGCATAAAATAACTTTGACCATTTTTCCTTCTTCGCGAACGCGTCTCTCACTCCGCGAACGCGATGCCTTGCACAGACGAACCTTCGCGAACGTGATGCACAAAACTCCACTGGGCCATTTCCTCTTCTGTGAACGCGAAGCCCAATCACGAACACATAACACAACCATCCAGCCTATTCGCGAATGCGGAGGCCCTCTCGCGAACGTTAAGGCCAAACTTTTCCCCCAGTCCCATCTCCTCTTCGCGAACGCGAGAACCCACTCACAAACGTGATGAAGGAAACCAGAACTGATTGCTACAACATTTTTTGCAATTTCCTAAGTTCCAAAAATGATTCGTTGAGCATCCGAAACACACTCGAGGCCCCCGGGACCTCAACCAAACCTGCCAACCAATCCTAAAATATCATTCAAACTTGTTCCAACCTTTGGAACGCTCAAAACAACATCAAAATGCCTATTTTTCATCGGATTTAAGCTTAAAATTCCAAAAACTCTAAAAACACACTTTCGATCAAAAAGTCTACCAAACCTCGTCCGAATAACCTGAAATTTTGCAAACACATCCCAAATGATATGACAGAACTACTGCAACTCTTGGAATTCCATTCCGACCCTCGGATCAAAATCTCCCTATCGAACCGGAACTTCAAAAATTCAACTTCTGGCATTTCAAGCCTAAATTAGCTACAGACCTCCAAAACACACTCCGAACACGCTCCTAACCCTGAAATCACCCAACGGAGCTAACAGAACCATCGGATTTCCATTCCGAGTCCGTATTCACACAGTTCCGACTACGGTCAACTATCCAGCACTTAAGCTCTCATTTAGGGACTAAGTGTCCCAAAACTCTCCGAAACTCAAAATCGACCATCACGGCAAATCAAAATAGCAGAAATAAACTTGGGAAAAGCAGTTAATAGGGGATCAGGGCGTTAATTCTTAAGACGACCGGCCAGGTTGTCACAAATCCGGGTAAGGAATTCTGTTAACCCGGGAGAAGGTGTTAGGCATTCCCGAATTCCGTGGTTTTATTACGGTCGCTCAACTATTGTTATTGGCCTAATTATCTGAGTAATTACATATTTTATACCTATTGTGTATTTTTAAACTTTGACCGCTTTTAATTATTTATGAAAGTATTCTGGAACAAGTTACGATTGTCGTACACTTGTTGGTTTGGTACACATTGTGAATCGTGTCACGGGAACCGTATCCATGATCTACAACATATTTAATTTATTAACATTATTAGAAGTTATGGCTGTGTCACATGAAATATGCACCCGGATTTGGAAATTACGTATCATAACCATGTCGCAAAAACCGTACTCATAGTCACGATAATTCATTATTACTAATCGCGCCTAAAGCAAGCTACGATATTCACAAGTTACTTTCCTAAACTACTTTAAGATTAGGGTGAGGCTACGAATTAAGAATATAAAATATAGAAAAATGGGTCAACTTAACAGAACACCAAATCCATAAGATTTAATTGAAAAACAATCGGCCCCAAATTCCATTCACATCTTCATTTTTGTAAATTGTTCAAATCTGATCCCCACATCATTAGTGAACAGTGTTAAACTGGCTACTTTACAATCGGACCTAATATTGAAAGGATATTCTTTTAACGTCAGCTCAAACTCCTTCTCACAACAAAGCAAGCTAAAGGAAATAAGTCCCAAGTTTCCAAAGGGGATCACAAACATAGAACAGAAGCAACAATAGTTTAAGAGCACTGAAACGATCACTAAACCAAACAAAACTTCAATTATTCATAATACCTAATCATTCACAATAATTATTCACATGAAAAATACCTAACTTCAATTATTCACATAATACCTAACTTCAATTATTCACATCAAAACACCTAATCATTCATAATAAATAAACAGTACCAACTCAAATCATGAAAAATTATATAACACATGAAGCATTCATAACACCTAATCACGTAGAATAAACAAACAACTCAATAATCAATCCCAAGAATCAACAAGCATATAACGTCAATGAAATAAGGAAGCAATGTCGAGAAATGGACCTTTCAATAGCTAAATATTCTTCAACTCAACAAGAACAGATATCTGCTGGACTTTTACGTGAAGTAACCACAACCGAAAATGACACCTAGAACTTCGACGGAGCTTTGAACCTCGACTAAAACTCTTGTATTTTCGGTCGTGTTTGGAGAGCTTTTGGAGGTTGTTTGGCTGTATTTTAGAACTGTTTTGTTGTGGCTTCAGGTGGTGTTTTTGTGGAGTTGAGACGGCGATGGAGGTGAAGGAGGAAGTCTGGTTCGTGGTTGTTCCAGCGAGCTGAGTCGAGGATGATGAAGAAGAAAGTCGTTGCTGCCGATTTTCAGAAATGGAGTCTCATTTTTATTGTGTGTGTTGTGTATGTGTTAGTTGTTGTTCGTTTTCTGGCGAGATCGAAGGTTGAAAAAGAATGACGTAGGGGGGGTGGTCTCTTGGGTTCCGCGGCTGCTTCAAGACTAAGGTTCTAGGTCTGTTCATTTTTTTTTGAAAGAGAAGATGAAACTTCTCTTCCGATGGAAACGGCTGGCCTTTCTGTTTTCGCCCTTTTTTTAGGTTGTCCCTAGAGTTAAGTCAAGGTGTTAGTCTTTTTTTAGGTTATTTTTCATTGGTACTCCCTCCGTTTTATAATAAATGAGGTACTTTCCTTTTTAGTCTGTTCCAAAACAAATGATGCATTTCTAAATTTGGAAATAATTCAACTTTAAACTCTTTCATTTTACCATTTACCCTTAATGAAAAACTTTTATAGTCACATAAATGTCATGGCCCCATAAACCTTTTACACCTTAAGCTTTTAAGACCACAAGTTTCAAAAGCCTTCTTATTTTTTCTTAAACTCCGTACCGAGTCAAACTACCTCATATAATATGAAACAGAGGGAGTATATAAGAGAGGAAAGGGTAAATGGGCTTGGACTTAGGAAATTGGGTTGGACCATGTCTTTTGGGTTTGAATTTAGGCTAAGGAGACCAAATAATATAATGTATCTATAAAGTGTAAAAATCAACCTTAATTAAAATAAACTAATATAAAACTAAATACTAAAAGTGAAACTAATTTTTGTATTTTCAAATGTTATAATAAAGTAAAAAATAGGAAGAATAGGCTACAGCCAAGGTAAAATTAAAGTACTATAAATTTAAATATACTAATTGACTTTAAACTAAAGATGAAAAATATTTTTTGTAATTTTTATTTTTTAATGATAAAATAAAGTAAAAGAGTCAAGACTATTTAAAATAACGATATTAAACCTAAACTTAACATTTAAACGCTAAAAATATATAAAATCTCGGGGAGGGTTAAAAATTACATGTTTACACTTTCCTAATAGCTTGATCTCCATCGCACGACTCCATGTGGAATAGTTTTCTGAACCAGTCAATTAAATTGAGATGATTGGAGGTGTCCGATGACTGAAGAAACAATGGTTGAGATCAGCTTTCGCCGCCATTGAGATTGCTGTGAATTTAAATAGGACAACGATTTCAACTCGCAATCACGTTTTTACTGCTATGATATCATGATGAAACTTGAATGAATCAATAATGGAGACCCTAATCTGATAATGCCATAACTGAACTTGAGAGAGAAGAGAAGAAGTAGAGTATTGTATTGAGAGAAAAAATGAAAATGTGTACTGTTACATGGAGCTAACAATACATATATAGAAAGCTCACTTCCACTAACCACCTAACTAACATTCCACGTGTTCACATATTTACTACTAACTAACTGAAATAATAAGCTCCTACTATTGCATACTAATGCTTCGTGTAATTCTCATTTTATCACATCTCCTCGTAAGCTCGTCTATTAAGCATACTAGTTCAACAAGTTTGAGATTTCACCTGAGATCAGTCCCATATAGGATCACATATTTGCTTGTTTGTTAATTTAAATTCACACATATTTGGACCCCATGCGTTACAAATTATTAGGATTATAACCCAGTCAAATCAGATAAAATCAAGTGGAAAATAGTTCCTGTTTGCATGGTAGTAAAAACTTGAAACCATATCTTCCCTTTCAATATTTATTACAACCCTTTTAGCTTTTCCACTAGCTCTTTTTTTAAGTAATCCTGTAGATTCTGTGCACTAAACCAAATCCCTGCTTTAGCTTTTTACGTAATATGTGTCATCATGTCAACATAATATGTGTAATTAGTTGATTGTACATTAATGAGAAAAATTGAAACCGTATCTTTCACAACATATATAAGTAACCTTTTCCCAGTGTGCCCTTTTGATTTCTCGTAATGTACTACTACTACTTGTCATTTTGTATAACAAATTCTTAGTGTTTAGCTGGTTCCCATTTGGTTCAGAGTACCTTTCAAGTTTGAGTTGATTGCTCCAGGTTTAAGATGTAAAATATATTCGAGTGGCTAGTAAGCAGCAAGTTTGGAATTAGAGGGGATAGAACATGAAATGTCATCGATTCAACCATTTAAAGATAAAGGCCAAATTATTGTTTACCTAAAAAAGGTCACTTTTAATAAGTAGAAAGCTAGTAGTAAAATATTTGTGTCACGACCCAATTTCCTCTCCGTTGGGTTTCGTGATGGCACATAGTCTTAGAGACTAGGTAAGCGTAACATATACTGAATATCAACCATAATAAAGAAAAGTCTAACAGTCTCGATATAGAAATCTTTGCAAAACTTACAAATTTTCAAAACCAGTAGTACAAGTCATAAGCTCTACAGAGTTGCAAGAAAACCTCTAAAATACAACTATCTCGAAATAAGAGTGAACAGTGTAAATAGAAAGTAAGAAGGTGACTCCGAAGGCTGCGAACGCAACAACAGGTTTATCTTGAGTCTCATCGGCAAGAATCCGCTCAGCTACTAACGATCAATATCTGGATCTGTACCAAAAAAATGTACAGAAGTATAGTATGATCACACCACAGCGGTGTCCAGTAAGTATCAAGACTAACCTCGGTGGAGTAGTGACGAGGAACAGTCAAGACACCCACTGCTCTAATAAGCAGAACAAGTATAACTATAGAAATAACAGAACATGATGTGTACATAAAGACTACGAGATATGGCTAACAATACAGTAATTGCAATAAGGAAAGAAAACATCAAGTAACAGTGGAACACCATAATAAAAAACACAGAAAAGTGGATGAAAATACAACCCAAATTCAAAATCACAAATACAGTAAAGACAAGTCGTGACTCAGTAACTACGACAATTTTCACATTAGGTCTTAGCCAACAAACTTCAATCAATCAGTCAAATCCTTCAAGTGATAAAAATATTTAGAAATATACTTCCTTCAAATAAATATTTTTCTAAAATAGATCTTTCAAAATAAATACATTTCGAATATAATCTTTTCAAGTATATATCCTTCAAATATAAGTCATCATATGATACCTCATCTCATATTCATACAATACGAGTCTCAATGCCTGAACCCTAACACTTGGAATCATGTGCCCTCATCACACCTCATTATCTTACAGACAACTCACGCACCAAATAGAGCTACTCTCACATTAAAGGCAATTAAACAAGGGTGTGCGTCTATACTCAGCAATACCAAGAAGCCTCTTATCCGATAAGGGTGTAGCCACGTATATGCTTGTGCAAGTGTCCTAACATAGTTCATACCAGCTAGTAAGCATAAAGAAAGAACGAACAGCACGTAGAATGTCTATACAGGGATAGGATCAATGAAAAGCAGCAGCTCAGAACACAGTGATAATAACTGTGAATCTCCCAAGATACCGTCCTGTAGTCCCAAACATAAATATGTAGGGGGATCTATCGGAATACCGTTCCGTAGTACCAAAGTAAATATGCAGAACAAGGGGATCTACCGTGATACAATCCCGTAGTCCTAAACGTAAATATACATGGGGATCTACCGGAATACCGTTCCATAGTCCCAATGTAAATATGCAGAACAGGGGGATCTACCAGGATACCGTCCCGTATTTCCAAAGTAAATATGCAGCACAACCAACAGAATTAACAGTTACAGCACGGCAAAACCTGGTACGTCACCACAACAAGTACAACAACAAAAAAGACAATGATACAAAGTACGACGAGTAAATCAACTCAAGAACTTTAAATCACAAAGAAAAGGTAGAACCAGTTCACAAGGAATAACCATAGTAAAGAATGTTAGGCATAAAGGGAACAATTCAACAAGGGAGAACTAACATGTAGCAACGATCCCACAATATACAAGTCAACAATAAAGAAGCCAACACGAGTCAAATAGTTCCAAATAAAGGCAAGTCAACTAAGATATAGGTTATCTAAACTCCAATTAAGGCTAAACAATTATAGGATAAGACAATAATAATTTCAATTAAAGATAAGCAGCTATGAAAGATAGCATGACGATAGAAGAGGCAAAATCTTCAGTTAAGTCAAATAGGCAATAAGAGTGAATCCTGAAGCAATTAATTCTAACTAAAGCATGTAGAAGTGAAACCAGCAAATAGGAACTCAAACGCATCACGAACAACTTCATACATAGTGAGTATAAGGACCTAAGAACCCTAAAGGCTAACTTTCCATAAATAAGTCCGAGCACACAGTCATCACCTCGCGTACATGGACTACAATCAACATAGAAGACTCAATTCCTAAGGGGAAGTCCCCCACACAAGGTTAGGAAAGATACTTACCTCAAAGGCGACAAACCGATACTCTAAAATGGACTTCTCGGTGCAAAGACCTCCGGACGGCTCAAATCTAACCAAAATAACTTCAAAGCACAAATAAAACTAATAAGAAACTATTTTGGATCATAAAGTCTTAATATTTAACAAAATATGCATCGCGAACGTGGAGCAAGAATCGCGTTCGCAAAGAAGAAAATGAATGTTGCCCAGGTTGGTCATCGCGAACGCGACAATAAGCGCGTGAACACGGAGAAGGAGAAACCTGATGGCTCACAACTGGCCTACGCGAACGTGATAGAGGAAAGAGCATACGTACACATTCGTAGACAGAGGAATGCGAACGCGTAGAAGGAATGGTCACTAATGCCCAACTTTTAATTCCTACTGCGCGAACACGAAGGGTCGGGTGCGAATACGAAGTAGGAGAAAACAGACTTCCACGATCGCGAACTAGATCATGCGAATGCGGAGAACAATAAATTCCTCCTCCAGGATTACTCTTCGCGAACGCAGAGGAACAGACGCGAACGTGAAGAAGAAAACTAGCTGACAGATAACAGTAGTTCAAAAATAGGGGAAAATGACATGTAGCCCACCCGAAAAACAGTCGAGGCCCCCGGGACCTCGTCTATCACACAAACAAGTTCTATAACCTAACACGGACTCGTTGGAGGTCTCAAATCACATCAAACAATGTCGACAATATAAATCGCGCCATGAATCGGACTTGAACTTTCAAATCTTCCAACTTTGAAAACTTGTGCCGAACCCAATCAAATCAACCTGGAATGACGCCAAATTTTGCAGACATGTCCAAAATGACATAACGGAGCTGCTCCAACTCTCAGAATCGCATTCCGACCCCGATATCAGAAAAGTCAACTACGAGTCAAACTTCTTCATTTTCCAAACTTTAACTTTTCCAACTTTTGCCGAATTGCCTCAATTTACCCTACGGACTTCCAAATCCGGACGCACGCCTAAGTCCAAAATCACCATACAAAGCTGCTAACATCATCCAAAACTCATTCCGGAGCCTCTTACACAAAAGTCAAATTCTCATCGCTTAAGCTTCCAAAACTATATTCTTTCTTCCAGTTCGACCTCAAATCATCCGATAACTGAATTCAACCATGCACGCAAGTCGATACACATAATATGAAATTGTTCAAGGCCTTACGCCATCGAATAGAGCTTAAATTCTCAAAATGATCGGTCGGGTCGTTACATCCTCCCCCTATTAAAACAAACGTTCGTCCTCGAATGTGCCAAGATTCGCCTTGTATTCCTCAATTCACTGAATGCACACTTCCAAATACACCCGCGGGTGATCCCACATCACCCTAATCCACATAAACCTGACGACACCATCGTAACTGCAATTTAGCCTTTCTACCAATACTAATAAGCCTTAGAGCCAAAATTCTCACCTTCCATTCATTTCCAAAAGACCCGACTCTAAATCCATATCTGGTACCAGTCTCAACTATCTACAACCACTTATG